AGACACGGATCCGAGAGTTAAACCCTTGAGCTTTTTTTGTCCCATGCAGTTCTCATTCATTGGTGGTCAGTGATGCAGCATCAGCTTCTAGTGAGACTGCTGAATTGTTTAATGTAATTCAAAGCATCTATGTATTTTTCTAATCTCTGCATCAACTCATCAATGGCAAATTTTGAAGCAACATCTGGGAATATCCTCTCTGACACTGAAACCACTGAGTGCCACATGATGGGAAAGTCGAGTGGAGGTGATAAAGCCTATCAAACACCAAATTGGGAAGATAGATGATGCCACAGTTGCCATTATGGAGGATAATGCTATGACAGGAACTGTTTGTGGGAGAACAGTGGCAGAGGGAAATGGAATCACCAGAAACATACATAACTTCAAATTTCTGTGTGGCTTAGTGTTGTGGCATGACATACTGTTTGAAATAAATTTCGTAAGCAAGAGACTCCAAGGTGTTGACCTTGATATATCTGGAGCAATGGAACAACTGGACAAAGCAAAGTCATACCTACAGTCTTACCAGTCAGATGAGGGATTTCAAAACGTTCTGAAGAGTGCACAGAAATTGGCAGAGGAACTTCACACTGAAGCTATTTTCCCACCCAATCAAGAATACAAGAGTCACCGAAGAAGAAGACATTTTGATTACGAGGCATGGGATAATCCCATAAGAGACCCCAAACAACAATTCAAAGTTGAATTCTTTAACCAGGTGCTAGATTGTGCAATACAGTCGGTTGAAGAACGTTTCATGCTGCTCAAGGAAAACAGCAGTATACTTGGGATGTTGTATGATATTCAAAAACTCCTCACTATACCTGAAGAAGACCTATACCAAATGCAGGGCACTAGAGATAGTGTTGACACATGATGACATGCACGATATTGATGCGAGTAATTTAGGTGATGAACTGAAAGCCCTTTCAAGATACATTTCAGCAGGATCAACTCCAAAGGCTGTTCTGGAATATATGTCCACAAATAAGTTGACCACCCTCTTTCCAAATGCTTTTGTTGCTCTGCGCATACTTCTAACACTTCCCGTAACAGCTGCCAGTGGAGAACGCAGCTTCTCCAAGCTGAAGTTAATAAAAACACATCTATGCTCCACAATGACACAGGAGAGGCTGGTCGGCCTTGCAACCATCTCAACAGAGAATGAGCTGGCCCAGACTGTGGACCTTCAGGAAGCAGTTCAAATCTTTGCAACCAAGAAGGCACGGAAAGCACCACTTTGATTATTCAAACAGATAAAAATGCCAGTGTTTACTATGCAGACAAGAAGTTACATTTGCTGTTCAGGTGTTTGAAAGTTAAGTGTTACTTAAAATTTTTGAACAAGGCATTTTAAGTTGTTAGTTCTCCTTTATTGGGGTAGGTAGCAGAGCAGTACCATGAGAGGCGTAGAACAGGAAGAAGGCAGAATTGAGACCTTTCATCCCGCCTCAGGTACCAAAATGTTGTGGGCCGGCCCTGCCCACTAATGCAAATGGCTATTCACCTGCACCTGGTAACTAAGAATCTGACCTGCTGAGTTCTGAGTGCCCTCGACTCCGACTGGTTTGCCTGGGAATCAAGGGCACTCAGCATCACACCAAAGGTGGCTGCACTTAGCAGGACTGAGCCCTGAAGAGGCTTGATTCCGGCTACATCCTTCCTCCTGGCTGTGAGAGGAAGAGCAGATCTTCGGTGGTAGCAGGCTATGGTGTGCTGTCATGGAAAGTTCTGCACTAGTGGCCACATGGCTTCACCACACATTCCCTAGAGACCACAGGGCCAAATTCTTTTTTCCTTTACACTGGTGTAAATCCAAATGAACCTCACTGACTTCAGTGGAGTCAGATAGGTTTCACAGCAGGCTTCTGTCACAGCTGGCTGAGGTAGTCCAGAGGTCACAGGGACATTGTGCAGGGGATGGAAGTGTGGAGACTGATGGCAGATTTGTAAGGGGAAAATAAAACTAAATCATCCATCAGAGGTGTCACTGCAGGGGCAAGGTCTGCTTCTGAATCGTTGCAATGGCTCCAGTCCCAAAGAAGTGTCACTGCTTGTGACCCCAAAGGCCCTGGGCCACAATGCTAATGAGGGCTGGCCTGTAATGGCCAGTTCGGGGTACAGAATCCAAGAATGGGGCAGCAGGAGGACGCTGGGAGAGCTGCATTGGGGGACACTAGCAATGAATGTCTGTGTAGGGCTGAATCGGCCCTGTGAGAGGAGCATTGAGGTGAAAGTAAGCCGGTACCGGCAAGAGCCAGTACGCTGTGCCGAACCGGACCGGCTTCCCCAGGCTGGCGATTTAAAGGGCCCAGGGCTCCCTGCAGCGGCCGGAGCCCCGGGCCCTTTGTCTCCCAAGCCCCGCTGCCAGAGCCCTGGGGTAGCGGTGGCAGGGCTCCAGTGGTGATTTAAAGAGCAGGGAGCCCAGGGCCCTTTTAATCACTGCCGGAGCCCTGCTGCTGCTACCCTGGGGCTCCGGCAGCAGGGCTCAGGCGGGGCTTTAAAGGCCTGGGGCTACCCGCAGTGGCCAGAGCCCCTGGCCCTTTAAATCACTGCCGGAGCCCCAGGGCTCCCAGCTGCCTCTGCAGCTGGTAGCTCCAGGGGTGATTTAAAAGCCCTGGGGCTCCCAGCCACAGCCGGAGCCCCTGGGCCTTTAAATCTTGATTTAAAGAGCCCTGGTATTTAAAGGCCCCATTTCTTCTGGTTGAGGCCACACCCCCTGTGCAGGACTCCGGTGTACCGGTAAGTCCTTTAAGTTACTTTCACCCCTGGAGAAGCACCACTTCTACTGCCCCTGTAGGAGCTGGGGGGATCAGAAGGGGATGCCAGGCTCCTGGTGTGCTGGCTCCTGCTGGCTGCATTTGCATAGCACAGTGACCTCGGGCAGAGCCATGGTAACGGCCCTCCTGCATGGGGATACATCTTTGATGCACATGGCTTCAGAGAAGCCAAGCTCCAGCTAACCAGGCCAGACTGTATTGGTCTCAGGGACCAGAACCTGCAGAGAGAGGCACAAGAATTTCTCCCGCACAAGCTCTGGAGGCAGCAGGGGCTCCAGGCTCCAAATACTTTGCCAGCACATTAACATGCTCGCTTGCTCTTTCCCCAGGCTGCGAATACAGACATCGGCTGGACCTTGGGCTACATGCTGAACCTCACCAACATGATGCCGGCGGAAGCCCCCGAACAAGTGAAAGGGCAGCAGCACGGGCTCTGGGCAGCCGCCATCTTCTTTATTGTCCTGACCGCTGCAGTGGCACTGATGGCCATTCTCGTCCTGTGCCTCTGGAATCCCACTTAGCAGCCCGAGTAATGTACGGAGAGCCCCTCTCACCAACCCAGGAAAGGGGAAGTGGCACAAATGATGGCAAGTGTTGGGAGGCCTTCAAGGCACTCGCCATCTCTTCAGGATACCTGCCTGGTTCCTCTCAGTGAACACCTCCCTCCAAAGAAGGCCAAGGGGGGATCTGATCAGCGTTTAGAACTATCTCCCGGGGGAAGAGCTCTGATCAGAGAAGTCTCTTTAACCGAGCAGACAAAGGATGACTGAGAGCCAGTGGCTGGAAGCTGAACTAGACCAATTTGGACTAGAAATAAGGCATTTTTTTTAAATAGGGAAAGTAACTAATCACTGCCTAAATATATGGGGGAGTTTCCCATCACGTGATGTCTTTCAGTCGAGACTGGCTGTCTTTCTAGACATGCTCTAGCTCACTTAGAAGCCATGGGTACAGAGCCGGAGTCCAGGAGTGTGGCTGGACAGCCTGTGTTACACAGGAGGTCAGGCTGGATGATGCCAATGCGCCCTCTGACATTCACTGCTGGATCGGAGACAGATTCTTGCAGCAGCAGCAGGAGGGCCAGCCACACATGTAGGCATGGATCCTGAGTGCGAGGAAGGCGTGTGCTCTGGCAGATCAGGATGGGGCCCTGTACCTTTAAGTCATGTAGCCTGTTAGCCCTTTGGTGCCCAGAATGATGCCCTCAGGTGTGTGGCAGCACTCTGGCGAGAAGATGGCAGCCTTCTCAGTGCCCTCTCCCTCTCCCTCCCCACGCTGCGGCATCAACTGTTCCTGCCTCCTTTGTTTTCTTTGTGCATGTTAAGCAGTACCTTCCCAGACCTCCAGAAGAGCTCTGTGCAGCTCAAAAGCTTGTCTCTCGCACCAACAGCAGTTGGGGCAGGAAATATCTTTCATTGGACCACCTTGTCTCTCAGGATCGAAGCCAGTTATTTTAGAAATATTTATTGGAATTTCACAGAAGAGAAAATAATGAGCAGCTGATCTGAACACTGCAAAGGCTGCTTCCACTGGCCCTGTATGTATAGATTTGATTTAAATAAAACCCTCCATCCCACCCCAAAACCTCAGCTCTAGGCACACTGACACCTCTTCACAAAAACACTCCCTCCAACAGCATCACAGGCTCCTACTCAACTAAACCAACTCCAAGGGACCATCCAGGAATTCCCAGCAACAGAGAGCGTCGCCCCACCCCAGCCAGCCACCCCCTCAGCCCTCGTGAGGAGTGGTTTTTACAGCACCCCCTAAAAGTTAACGAATTCAGGCTCTTTTGGTCTAAGGGGAGGAACAAGAGCCAAACAAGGAGCCCTCCTGCTGGCAACTTCCTCTTCCAGGCTGCAGCTCCCGTGCCTGGGCTAGCCATGGCTGTGGCAGCAGGGCATGGGCCGGGCAATGCAAGGGGCTGAGTGAACTTACAAAGGGTATGCCAGGTCCAGGCTGTGAGTGACCTCAGAGCGGCTGTGCCTGCCAGTGGCCCTGGGGGTGGGTAAGGGTTTGAGGCAGCGTACAGTGGCCTGGACCAAGCAAAGGCCCTGCAGCAGGGCCGGCTCCAGGCACCAGTCCAGCAAGCAGGTGCTTGGGGCGGCCAAGGGGAAGGGGCGGCACGTCGGGCTCTTCGGCAGCGGGTCCCTCTCAGAGGGAAGGACCTGCCACCGAAGAAGAAAGCGGCACGGTGGAGCTGCCGCCGATCGTGATTGCGGTTTTTTTTTTTTTTTTTTTTTTCCCCGCAGCTTGGGACGGAAAAAACCCTGGAGCCGGCCCTGCCCTGCAGGGTGGAGGGCAGGAGTGTCCTGCTCAGCCTGTTCCAGGTAAGCACCCTGCAGCGCTGAGAGGCTGTGTCATCAAAGAGCCGGCGCCGTGCACAGGCCGGTGTCAGTGAGCTGCAGGGTCAGGGGACGGAGCCACTGCGCAGACCCATGCTGGCAAAGGCTCCATGGTGTACATGGGTTGCACAACCTGTGCCAGCTGGGAGGCCTAGCACCACAGAGACGGTGTGTGATCTCACAGGGCCCTGAGCCAGGTGAGGGCTATGAAGGATTGATGGGCTGAGCAACTCCCCAGAGGCTTGGGCCAAGTGAGAGGCTAGGCAGAAAGGAGGGCCAAGGGAGCTCCCCGAGGCCAGTGGGGGCTGAGTGAGCTCCCAGAGGCTCATGCACCGCATAGCTGATGGGCTGAGCGAGCCCCAGGGGCTGGTGCCCAGGAACCACCCTGCAGTTCCTGGGACCCTTTTTGCAAAGTAGAGACCCTAGGTCACCTCCCTTCCCCCCCACCAGGTTATTTTTATCTACTCCCATGAGCCCTGCTCTCTCTGTGTTCTTAGCTTCCCCATGGCTCCTTCCTTCTTCTGGCTCTCCCTGATCCCTCTGGGCTTTGTTAGGCCTGTTTCTCTGGCTGCCCTCCCCACAGTGCCTCAGCTCCTGTCACTTGTCCATCTCCCCCACCCTGCATTTCTTCCCTCCAACCCAGTGCTCAGTCCCTCAAGGTCTAGCTCCCTGCTGTGGCCCAACTTCATGGAACCGATTGGGACAACACCAGTGTTCACCTGACCAGGGACAATCCCCACAACCCAAGATGTCTGGGCACAGGGCCCTTTGCCTCTGGTCGATCCATGGGGCTTGGAGGGGCCACCCACCCTATGCCTGATTCATGTGCATTCATTTACAGCCATGCAAAGTGGGTGTGAATTGCTCCCCAACCAGAACAGCGCTGTTTTTACACTGCGTTGGGCCCAGGGAATCAAGCCTGCCTCCCTGTCCTCTGAGTGGCATCTTGCCTCCCACAGTCTGGCCTCAATGGGTCTGTCGGCACTGCCATTAGACCCCTGCAGCAGGCCTGTTCCAGCTGACTCACGCTCGTGGGGCTTGGGCTAAGGAGCTATTTACTTGCCCCAAGCCCAAATGTCTACACTGCCCTCAACCAGCCCCTCGGCCCGAGTCAGCTGGCACGGGCCAGCTGTGGGTATGTAACGGCAGCGTGGGCATATCCAGTGACGACAAGGTCCAGCTTCCCCCACTTTTATTGTAGCTGGTGGGAAGTGGGGGAGGGATAGCTCAGTAGTTTGAGCATTGGCCTGCTAAACCCAGTGTTGTGAGTTCAATCCTTGAGGGGGCCATTTAGGGAACTGGGGTAAAAATCTGTCTGGGAATTGGCCCTGCTTTGAGCAGGGGGTTGGACTAGATGACCTCCTGAGGTCCCTTCCAACCCTGGTATTCTATGATTCTAAGTGGGGATTAAGGCCTTAGCCAGGCCCCCTCTTCTGGAGGAGCCGGTTCTTCTTACCACTTAATCTGCATCTTTGAATCCCAAGTTCTTGCTACAGAAAGAGCTGGTGGCTAGGTCTGAGATGGGAAAACTCCGTTTGCTGTGTCAGCACCTCTCAGAGTGACCTTCATGAGACACCACCCCCTGTCTTGCACCCAGATCGCACCTCACCCCCACTCTCTAGCCAGACCTGTCATTTCACTTTGATTATTGGGAAATACTGAGGCCAGACACATGCCATAGAAAATGCTATTTCTGCTACAGAAACGAATCCTGCAGGGTTTCTGGATAATGGGGTCCCACACTGGGAAGCGTCTTGTGTAGGCAGCTTCATTAAATACCTAGCAGGGCTGGCAATGGTCAGACCTGAATGAATTGGCGCAAGCTTCTCCTGTTCTCTGGGAGACATGAGTAAGGTGAGGTGGGGTTCCCAGCCCAGCTGGCTTCTTGTGGAGTCTGGCAGGAAGAAGCATCTCTTCTCTAAGGGCAGGCAGCCCCAATGCTGGCCTGGGCAGCAAAGCACTTGGGGAAAATGCCAAAGTTGCCATTGCAATGGCCTTCAAGCCATTCCTCATTCACTGGGAAAATACAAAGGAACAGGGTAAGGACCTAGCAATCCCCTGAATTGCCTAACCAGGGAGAGACAAGCCTTGCTAAGGGTGACATTCACCCCTGCGCAAAGGGCCAGTATAGGCCCATGCACATGTCAGTCCCCCATAAGGCCTAGTGGCTTAACTGTCAGGAAGCCTTTTGTTCCCCAACTTGTCCCCATCTCCCCCCTGCAAACAGACTCCTGAAGCTGCCCAGCAAAGAACTTCAGGCGGAACTAGAAAGCTACCTTCGGAGAGAATGTCCAGCGTGTCTCCTTCATTGAATTCCAGATCCTCTGGCCTTTGCGCCGTGTAACCGTGGTGTGCTACCATCCTGTAGAGAACAGGTCTGTCTGAACAGGCATCTGTGCCCTATGGGACAAGGCCATGTTGTAAACCACAGGCAGAGCAGAAATTAAACCAGAATCTAGTGAGGCAGAACAGCATCCCAAAGGGACCCGTACCTGGCACCAGAGTGTCAGCCTCCCATCTGTCACCTCCTGCCACATCTTCCCCATCTCCTCTTCTCCCGAAATCACAATGAACTGTTTGCTGTCTGAAAGCCTGCAGCTGAAGTAAGAGAGGAGGTCAGAGAGAACGTACTAGGGCCAAATTTAGAGGTGAATCTAAGCTTGTGCAACTTGCATCTCCCTCTGATTCCCTAAGCATGTCAGTCCAGGAACTCCAGGGTATGTCTGTGCTGGAGCTGGAGGTGTAATTCCCCGTTCAGACAGACAGACCCGTGCTAGCTGGCCTCGAGCTAGCGTGCTAACAGGAGAAGTGTAGCTGTGGTGCCACAGGCGGGGGGAGGGGCTAGCTGCCCTGAATACGTACCTAGGTTTTCAGATAGGATTGGACACAGAGTGTTTAGGCTGGCGAGCCCATTCTGTTGCTTGTGCCACCACCACGGCTACGCTGCTATTCTTAGCACACTAGCTCAACCAGAGCTAGCGCATATGAAATTACCCCTCCAGCTCCAGTAGACAAAACTTCAGTCTGCTTTAGACTTACACAAGACCTCTAGGCTCTAAACTGGCCACACAAAGTGCAACTGAGTTGAACTTGGTGTGCCTTAAATGTTGTGCTGGCTGGGAGAAAATCATTTGTAGGTCAGGGGTGTCTACAATAGCATTTCTCTTTAAATTTCCCCTTCTTTCACTACTGCCGGTGCAGTTCCATATTCCTTTGGTCCTGTGAAACCTCCCTACTCACACATTCCCTGTCCCCAAGGAGTCACTGTTATGTTCTAAAGCAATGAGGTGGAATATCCAGGGACAGGGCTCTGTGTGACTATTCAGTTGGGAGAGGGGACACAGCGCTGGTTCGTATGTACTCATCTTGTGAACTGTGCCTATGGCTGTCTGAGCCCTGTTGAAGAACAACATGGACGGTAGACATGGCCTTAATGCCTAGCTCCTTGGGCAAACACCTCTTCGGAGAACTGCAGCTCACCAGGAAGGAGAAACTCCAACTCAGTCTTTGGCACCAGTTCAGAGTAGCCAGAGTGTGACCCTATTTCCAGTCTGTGACCAAGCCTACCTCAGCTTCCCAAGCTCTGCCTGCTGGCTGAACGTCTCCCTCAGCAGAGACCTGAGGTCTGACAGGGTCAGGGCCTTGTTCACTTTAACTGTATAGTCACAGTGGACTTTCAGCAGGATGGATCTGTTCTCGCTGGAGGATGCTTTGTCCTGAGCCAGTGGGACCTGCTGCCAAACAGGGAGCAAAGGAGAATCTGCTCTGGATGGGTTGGTTAGAGCAATTTCACCAGCAAATATCTGAATAACAATAATGCCTATTCTTATAACAGCAGAGCTCCAAGCACTTTACCATCTGTTAAAGTATTTATCCTCACAACATCCTTGTGAGGTAGGGAAATATTATTATCCCCCCTTTACAGCTGGGGTGTCGAGGCACAGATACATGAGGTGACTTACCCAGGAAGTCCCTGGTGGAGCAAGGAACCAAACGCAGGTCTCACACATCTCAGCCAGTGCCCATCCTTCCATACCCGGAGTCAAGAGTGGGGGCCTAACCCAAATGCCAACCTCAGTGCCACCAAACTCCATGTGGCATAAAATCTGAGCCAGGATCCAGATGTGAATTTCACATATGGGGCCCATTTCTCAAAACCCTGGATCCAAACACTTCCATTTTTCCCCGAGGAAGAGTCTGGATCTGAATCCTATAACTCAGACACATCTACTCAGCACGGGAGTTCTGCTTATACCAGAGGGGAGACGTACTCCCTGTGTTATCATGCAAACATGTCCCTACCGTGATGCTGCCAGGTCCCATAATTTCTTGTGGAAATTTCAGCTGCCAGTCCATGCAGCTTGGCACAGCACGGACTCCAAAATCACAGGCAGTCTAGTGGCTGTGCCAAATGAAGTGGGGCTACTGGTGACCTGACCAGCAGCTGCCTCTGACAAAGAAAGGCTCTGTAGGTACAAGTCCCACGTGAGGTAGGAAAAGGATACAGAGGTGATTTCACTGACCCCAGAAATGCACTGCTCTCTGTGACAGAACACAGTGGTTGTTAACAGCACAGAGCAACAGTATGGGCCTGGAAGAGGAAGATAAAGGACTCAGGGGTAACAGACAAAAGTCCATCTGGGAGTTAGGATCTCTCTGGGATGGGGGGAGGGGAAACTGGTCTGGAAGAAAAGGCTTTCCAGTGAGCCCCAAAGTTTTGGGGTGGCTCTGGAGTTTTGGTGGAACTGGGCTGAATCTACCCTTATCTTTGGCACCAGTGATTTTATAGTCTTAATGGTTTGTGATGTTGGGGAACATTGCACCTGCAAGTCTGCTTGCGGATCAGCATCATTTGCAGCAGTGTCTTCTCCTTCAGCAGGTCCTGCAGAGCAAAACATTGCCAAACAGCCATCATGACAATGGGCAGGGCCTCTTTGGAGGAGATGGGGTTGGACAGCTTTGGGGGGGTCCCACTGAGCCACATCTGGAGGGACTCCAGGCAGTGTGAGAAGCCACCGATTTTATTGCCTGAGCTGTCCATCCCTCCCCTCTCAGGGACTGGCATATAAAACCCTGCCTGCCCTCGTCACCATAGCAAGGGGGGCAAGTGACAAATGGCAGCAGCTGCATTTATTGGACACCAGCTCTGAATCACCAGGTGCCTGCCAACCAGTTCGTTTCAATTTGGACACAGTCCTGGCCCCCAGTCTCTGTTCAGAGCAGAATGAGTGGGCCACAGCAAAGTGTGTGCAGTCATCCCTGACTCGCGGAATCTAGGGTGCTCTTGGGTTACACAGTCAGTCCCTGCCAGTAACCACATGCTGCAAGTGGGGAGCTAGCCTTGCTGGTATTGTAGGTTCCCTAGAGCAGTGGTGTTTTGGGGGACTGGTGGGTGATCCCACACAACTCCCATTGGGATCCTTATCCCCACATGCCCCTTCAGTCCCAGAAAGCAGGATTTACCTGGCTGCTGGTGGTCCATTTCTTGCAAGTGAGGCCGGTTGGGGGGCACTTTAATGGGGGGAAGAGGGATCCCATTACTGACTTTCTGCAAGAGAACAAAATGAAAACAAACTGATCAGACACATGAGGAGAGTATGGCTGAGGCCAGTGTCAAGCAGAACAGTTCTAAGGAACTAGAGTTTTGGGAAATCAGCTCCCTCATTCCTCATTGGCCAGAAGGAGCAGGTGGCAGCTGGTTTGCATCACTGAGTAGATTGCAGGCTATGACTTTAAGGGTGGGCAGAGCCTCGGGGATGGCTAATTCATTAACTCACGTATGAAGTGGAGCACTCAGGCTCCTCCAGGCTCCCCCAGAGGGTGGCTACCCACCTGGTACCCATATGGGGTTGTTTTATTTTGCTGCACTGTTCACTTTGTTAACCTCTCTGGGATCCCAACCCCACATTTAGCCTGGGGATGGCCACCTCCCCATCTGACCAAAAATGGAATCTGTCTTGACTGGGATTTCCATGGCTGATCCCTCTGACCCAAGGGCTCATCTGCCCCTCACTCAGCTCCAAAGTTCTGCACTGAACAGACTGGGTGTCTGCACTGAAATGGTTTACAGCAGGAAACCCTACCAACTCCATAGGATGGATGATAACAGAGTCAGAGAATAGCAGGGTTGGAAGGGACCTCAGGAGGTCATCTAGTCCAACCCCCTGCTCAAAGCAGGACCAATCCCCAGACAGATTTTTGCCCCAGATCCCTAAATGGCCCCCTCAAGAATTGAGCTCACAACCCTGGGTTTAGCAGGCCAATGCTCAAACCACTGAGCTATCCCTCCCCCCAAAGAGCCAGTTTCTCAACCACAGTAGGGCCAGCGGAAGTTCATTCACTAGAGGCCACTAGTGTGTCAGAACCGAAGTGGGCTCTGAAATTCCCTGCTCGCTGCAGTGGGCACGTGGGTATGAGTCACACCTTGTCTGCTGGAGGATTCAAGTGGAGACAGCTTTCAGCCGGGTCAAGCCATTAGAGCAAGGCTGCATTGGTTACAATATGGTGGGTCCTAACTGTGAGGAGGAGGGGGTAAAAGAAATGGATTTTTTCCAAAATGGAAGCTTAGACTTTGCAGGAAACAGATCAGAGCTGTGGAAAAAATCCACCTTTTGCCTGCTGCTTGGATTTCCAATTGTCCCTGGCTGGTTGAAAGCCCTGGACCTACACATGGGGTGAGTCTGAAGAGAGAGTCCACTGCCTTGCTCTGTGGTTCAGAGCCCTGCCACTCACACAGCTCGAGTGGCCTGGCTGTGTTTTCTCTCCCTGCCTCATCCCATAGTCACAAGATTGTCCCCTTACCCACTTATCAGCCTTGGGGGCATAAACAGGCTCCAGGTGAGAGGTCGGTATACGCAGTTTCTGGAAACACAGAGCAGAACAGAAAACAAGGTGAGACCAGGCACACTTGAAACAGACACTCTTCTGCCCGGTGCAGGAGATTCTCTTCGCTGGCCTTGACAACCCCACCTTGCCCCTCAGTCATTCACACCCCTGTGGCATGTGTCATTTCCTGGCACGCCGTCCTGACCAGGTCACTCTGTCTGCTGGCTCACTCTTCTCCATCATCCAGGGCCAGTGCAATCCATTAGGCGACCTTGGGGGAGGGCCACCTGCAGCAAGTAGGGGGGGGGCAGCACGCAAAGGAACCGCTCCCCGCCCCAGCTCACCTCTGCTCCGCCTCCTCCCCTGAGCACGCCGCCCCGCTCTGCTTCTCTCCCTCCCAGGCTTGCGGCACCAAACAGCTGGATTGGCGCCGCAAGCCTGGGAGGCAGGAGAAGCGGAGCAGCGACGGCGTGCTCGGGGAGGAGGCAGAGCAGAGATGAGCTGGGGTGGGGAGCTGCCACACGGCTCCCCGGGCCGGGGGGGGTGCCTCAGGGCGGAGGGGGGTGGGGAGCTGCCGCGGGGGGAGGGGGGGCCTTAGTGTGGAGAGCTGCCACAGGGCTCGGGGGTGGGGTGGGGCGTGCAAGGTGGAAGTTTCACCTAGGGCGCGAAACATCCTTGCACCCTCCCTGCCATCATCACAAACACAAACTACTTGCCATCGCTTTCAAGGCCCTTCACAGCCTGTCCCCACCTTCCCATCATCGCTCAAGGTGCTGAATCCTGCCTGTGATCCACCAGCCTTCCTCGCCCACTTGTTAACTTTTAAAGAGGCACCTTTGTGCTTCCTCCCATGTGGCCCCTCACATGCAGGAGGAGCTGCCTCCATCTTTCTTCAGTTTCCTCTTTATAACTCTCCTGTGCTGTGATGCCTACCAGAAAACTTGACAATGGTTAGGCTGCTGGTTGTGCCAAGACCACTGCCTGTCAGACTGACCATTCTTACCTCACTGTTTCTTTGTGCTCCCCCATCTGTCTTTGGGCCCATCCGTTTTCTCTGCCTTATACTTTGATTGTAAGCTCTCAGGGGCAGGCACTGTCTCTTTATTCTGAGTTAGTACAGGTCAATCCTGGCCCATGACGGGGCTCCTGGCCTCTATTCTAATATAAACAGCAATGTTTACATTGGCCCACTGGGGATTGCACGTGGGTGGTGACGCCCACTTGGGGACACAGCAGCACATTGCTCTCCCTTCTGAGGACCCTGCTTTCCATACAGCAGTTGCAAGAGGGCCACTGAATGAACCCTAGACACATTTTGTGCACTTTATTCTGCAGGAGGTGAGGCTTCACAATTGGTGTGAATTGTGCCCCTGCTAGTGGTTCTCACCGAATGTTTCTTGTTGCATAATCCCCATGCAGGATCCACGTGTGTCGGAAGGGATAAGGATCAGAAAAAGCTGAGGTCTCCAGTTTACTGGCCAGTGGAATTAGAGAGGTGACGGGGACAAGTCAATGGGATCTGAACAGCCCTGAACAACTCTTAACAGCTGCTGCTATTAGTGTCCAATCCATGAAAGTGAACTGGCAGTTTCAGAGAAGGTATCGTCATATCCCACCCTCTTGGCTGCTCCAGCTCCTGAGAGCTACCAAAGGAACATCCTATTAAAGCCTCAGCAAGCCCCAGCTGGCAGGGAGCGCTGTAGTGTCTACTGATGCTGTGCTAGAGGCAGGAGCACCAGCCTGCCAGTTCCACATACCTGTCCATCACATATGGCAGTAGCCCAGCCGTCTGCCCCTTTAGTTAGTACAAAGATGATAGTGCTGCCCTTCACTGCCATCTCTTCAGAGTCCTCAGGGTAATAATGAGTCACAACTTGATAGTAACCTGAGCCGCGGTCTCTGGAGAAAAAAATATAACAGCTTTACTCAGCACCCTTTGAGGCTATCACTCTCCCACTATGGGGTGTGGACACCACTGGGTTTAACGGGATTCCCTTCTCTTTGCTCCACTGGTTACCCTTCTTGGAGACATTCAGGCTAGGAATGGGCATTGCCATCCTGTGACCTTTCCACTGGCTCTTCTGTCAATGCGCTTTGAAACATAAAGAGTGGTAGGACATTCACCGCTCCTTAGGTGCCAATGCCCCCTGGAACAATGCCACTCTTCTCTGGGTGGAGTCCCCGCTGCATTCTGCTGGAGGACCTGTCTTTTTACTGGGGTCTGAGGAAAGCCACACCCTTCTACTCTGTCCATCTAGGTACTTACGTGCCTCCATCCTCATAGCATCCAAGCATCTCACAACCATCAAGGACTGTCTCCTTCCCACACCGCTGTGCATTAGGAGAGCATCATTACCCCCATTTGCAGATGAGGAACTAAGGCAAAGAGTGATCAAGGGACACATTTTCAGAAGAACTCAGGGCCAAATTTTCAGAAGAGCTCAGAACTTACAGTTGGGACTAGACTTTCACTGTGGCTCCACTCCCAGTTAGACACCTAAATTTGTCCAGGGTCCAATGACAAGAGGGTTATGGATACAGTGTCTCACTTCAGAGCTCTAACCACGAGCCCATCCTTCCTCCCACATGGTGATTCTCCCTCACCATATACTCTCAGTTGTGAGCTGAGTAAACTCGAGAATGCTTCTCTTGAGAACATCTCCCCTCATAGGCAGCAGTAGCCTTGGCCTGTGTCTCCACGGTGCAATTATCACATTTATGGTCCGTCAGAGATGATAATCCATGAACTTTTGGAGAAGAACATGCCATCAGTGGATGATGGGACAGACTGGTGCAGACAGAGGTTCCCTCTTTTGCCTTCCAGCCATTTCTGAAAATTCCCACAGTTCATTGCAAAGCCCCACAGCCGTATCACTGTGCTAACTAGTAGAATATAGTACTGAGTCAAACACAGAGCACAGTTTTAACTGTCCGGATCACTTTCTAGTGTGTGAACTCTAGAGCTGGGTAACTTTCCTGACGGAGCATTCTTCCATCAGAAAATGCCATTTCATCACAATAAAAACTTTCTGCAGGAATGTGTTGATTTTGACAAATTCTGTTTTACAAAATTTTTGCTTACAAGTGTTTCAATAAGGTCAATACGATCAGAAAGGAATATTTTGATTTTTTGTTTTGAAATGCCTTTTCATTTAGAAATGTATTTGAGTTTATACTCTATTATAAGTTATAATATAGTGTAAAATAAAAGGTTGGAATCAGAATGAAACATTTCAATTTTATTTAAATGGAACATTCTGACTGACCTGAAACAAACCATTTTGGAAAATTTCGTTTCACAACAAATTTCAATTTTTCATTTTTGTTTAGATTTGGAACGAAAACAATTTCAAAATGTCGGCATTTCCTGCTCAATGAAAATGTCGAGTTTCAACTGGCTCCAGGAATAGGGTTGCCAACCCTCCCGGACTGGCAGGGAGTCTCCTGGAATCAGCCACGATCTCCTGGAGGCTATTGAAATCAATCCGGGAGATTTTAATAGGCTGCTAAAAGTCTGGTTGGTGGCACAGCGAGGCTAAGGCAGCCTCCCTACCTACCTTGGCTCCACATGGCTCCCGGAAGCAATCTGGCTCCTAGACGCAGGGGTGGCCAGTGGGTCTCTGCGCGCTGCCCCTGCCCTGAACGCCAACTCCACAAATCCCATTGGCCAGGAACCGCAGGCAGGGCAGCGCGCAGAGCTGCCTGGCCGCCCCTGAGACTAGGAGCCGGACATGCCAGTCACTTCTGGGAGCCACCAGAGGTAAGCGCCTCCCAGCTGGACCCCACATGCCTCAGTCCCTCCCACACCCCAACCCATTGCTCCAGCCCTGAGCCTCCTCCTGTACTCAAAATCCCTCCCAGAGCCCACACCCCCTCCTGCACCCCAACCCCCTGACATAGCCCTGAGCTCCCTCCTGCACCCCAAACCCCTCATCTCCAACCCCACCCCCAGAGCCTGCACCCCAGCCAAAGCCCTCACCTCCTCCTACACCCCAACCCCTTGCCCCAGACCTGTGAAAATGAGTGAGGGTCGGGGAGAGCGAGCGACAGAGGGAGGAGGGTGGGGTGAGCAGGGGGCAGGGCCTCAGAGAAGGGGTGGGGCAGGGTGTGGCCTCTGAGAAGGGGCGGGGAAGGGGGAAGTGCACAGGTGTTTGGGTTTGTGCAATTAGACAGTTGGCAACCCTATTCATGAACCACCTTCTGGCTTTTCCAGATGAAAACAATGGGCCAGATTCAGTCCTGGAGTATTGGAAGCACAAACCAGGGAAGTCAATGGAGCTGCACCTCCTTAGACCAGGGCTGAATTTGGCCCCAGTTACAGCAGTGCTGATAGGAGCATTTGGAAGCCTTGTCCTGGGGGCTAGAGCCAGGAAACTGAGAGTCAGTAGTTGTGGGTTCTAACAGTGGTGCTGCCACTGACTTACTATGTGGCCTTGAACAGGTCACTTAACCTCTCTCTGTCTCTGTTTCCCAACCTGTGACATGGTATTTAGCTGCCTCACAGGATGGCTGTGAGGCTTAATCAATGTCTGCAAAGGGCTTTGAGATCCTTGCAAGGTGTTATAGAAGTGCCAGGTGTTATTGTTATTAACTACAATGGCTGTCACAGTCACACAAGTCTTTCACACACACAGTGTTTTCTCCTCAGTGATGGATCTCTGGGACTGGGATACTAACCAAACCAAAACCTCTGGGGCCAAGACAAGGTGCCATGAAGAGAAATAGTGACAGAAGAGCAAAGCCACCTGGGGTTGGTCACTTACCGCACAGCATTGACACTGGGTTCGTAAAAGCCCTGTCTCTGTGGAGAAACAACAGCATCTATTTCATAGAGCCAGATTCCACGCCAGAACGGACCATTGTGATCATCTAGGCTGACCTCCTCTATAACACAGGCCAGAGAACTTCCCCACAATGATTTGTAATAGCTTGTATCAGACAGTAATGCAGAGTCTGAGCGAGAGTTTCAGTCTCTGACATTTTCCCTCCTATTCTCCTGTCCACACTTGTCATGTAATCAATCACCATTCTAGGGACAGTCATCAAGGCCACTCCACACTGCTGAGCAGTGTTGGCAGTGGCAGCCCCCTCTTCTCTGCCCACCCCAGCCAGTGGAGACCAACCTACTTGCGCGTTCCCCTGCTCCTAACATTCTCATGACAGTGCACCCCACTGCCCTGGAGGGTAGGTCTGTGGTGGTGCTGGGCAAGGGAGTTAAACATTACATAGACTCTGCTGCAGCAGCTTTAATTCAGTGCAGAGAAAAGAACCCTCTGCTCAGGGAACAGAGACTTATGTGCCTCATCTGAGCCCTTTGGAGGGGTGGAAGGATATCTGCAGTGATATGGCACTTAGAGGGCAGGAATTGCTAGGCAGGGGGAGACGTGCGGGACTCAGAGCCCCAGGGAAACCTCTCAGCTACACTAAAATATTATGCAAAAAGAACAGGAGTACTTGTGGCACCTTAGAGACTAAACACATTTATTTGAGCATAAGCCCACGAAAGCTTATGCTC